GACCTTGAATTTTTATTTATTTACTCATGTCCTACATTTCTTATGTTTATAAATAATTCAAGGCAGCTAACATACCCAATATTCCCTCCTGTTCCTATATTCTCCACAACAAGAAGCCTGATGGTTGAGTTGTCTAAGAGAGTGTGTGACTGGCCCAAAGTCACCCAACTGGCTTTCAGGCCTAAGGTAGGATTAGAACTCAGAGTTTCTAGCCTGATGCTTTAACCACACCACCAAAGTGGTTCTTTGGTGACCAAATTGAGAAACACTGTTTTAGAGTCATAGTATCCTTCCTTTTGGAAGCAATATTGTGCGTCTTTTTTCTATATGACCACCAAAACACAGCCATCACTAAAAAGTTAGCAGTAAACTTTACTGATTTTCTTGTACTACTGTAGGGAATATCCTATTACCGGTACTTTCCATATCTGCTTGATAATCACATGTAGATTAGTCAAACGTATGTCCATTTATCACGAATCAAAGCAACCAGATTAGCAAATCTATCAGCAGTATTGCAAAATCTTGAAGGTGCTTACTGTTGAACAGTGAACTGATTTAATTCTTTCAATTTATACACAGATTGAGTTGCACAATTTCTGTTCTTAATAGTTTAAGGTTTCTCAACCTTGACAACTTTAAGATGTGCGGACTTTAACTCTGGGGAACTTTGAGAGTTGAAGTTCACACATTTTAAAGCAGCCAAGGTTAAGAAACACTAATTTAAAACATTCCAAGACTATTTCTGAACTATAAAACAAAGTCTCGCCCTTGTATTTTACCGATAGTAGCTTCACAAACACTAACACAGAAAAATTGTTTCAAGAATCAGCCAAAAAATGGCTGTGCCTTCTTTTCATCACACTTGTTTAGTTCTCCTTACTAAGGAAAACAACAACTTCTTTTTCTTACCTAATAGCGATTTTTATTTATAATTTAATTTTTTTAAGGCTGCCCAACCCTGTCATAACCATCACATTTGAAATATTAAGATGGCTCTTATAAACTGAATCGCATTGAATAAAGTTGTTTTTCAACTTGTGAGTTCCCTGAAGAGGATGGTTATTCAACAGCATTAATTAAAGTGCAAGATTTTTATGCTAGACAGATTCCAATATTCTTGCACTAGATAACTAGAGAAATAAAGATGTAGCCTGAATTATTTTGCCAGAGATCTGTATTGCATGTAAATCTACCTGTTTCTCTAACTGATTTCTTTGGCAGCTGAGTTTGCATTGTAGTTCAAACATAACAAATTGGGCTGCAGATTTTTCTCCAGGTTTCTAAACAGAGCCACAGTTAGAAACAAGCACAGGGAATCTTTTTTTTTTTACAGCAGTGCATAAAACACAAAAGGCTGTTCCCATAATGCACTTAGGAGGTCTTGACAAATGCTATGAAGTCACAGATTCAGAGCAGGGAGGGTAGCACTTCAAAGGAGGGTGGAAAGGGAACAAAAGAAAAATGAATCATGGAATGATCATGCAACTTCTAAGGCACAGCCAAGACTGTGAGCAAGGATACTGTACTGAGAGCTGTCCAGGAAGGAGGAAAATGGTCCTCAGGCAAAGTAGTGGAAGCATTTAGCAGGCAAATGAAAAGATCAAGCAGGACCTCAAAGGCCACAGAAGACCTGCAGTCCAGGGGTCTCCAACCTTGGCAACTTTAAGACTTTGTGGACTTCAACAAAGCTGGCTGAGGAATTCTGGGAGTTGAAGTCCACAAGTTTTACGGTTGCCAAGGTTGGAGACCGCTGCTCTAGCCTGTCTTAGCTGAGCTTCAGTCAGACAATAGCAAGTGTCTCTAATTTTCTGGCTGAATATAGAGACAGTTAGTTAAACTCTACAAAGGCTTCCATACAAAGTTTCTCTATTGGATTTTATTAGGCATCCTCAAGGTATAATTCACAGTTATGTTGAAATTCATCTAATGTTCACAATCTTTGCATAGTAGCTTAGCTACTCTGCCTGTGAACAAACTCCCCCCAACCCAACTAGAGATCAATTCAGTGACCAGTCAGGATTACTGATGTAACCACATGACATGAACTACATCTCCCATGAGGCATTAACTACATTTCTCATGAAGCATTCCCTGAAGGAGACAGCTCCCAATTCCCAACTAACTATATACTGTCTGACCAGCACAGCAAGCCGTGGGCATTTGTGATGGGCAGTTCCTCATCTAATTAAGACAAAAATGTTGGAAGAAAGCAGCTGCAAACTATGATTTCCTCCCTTCCCCTCTGCCCCCCATACCAGTATTTCTCCACCTTGGCAACTTTGAGATGTGTGGAATTAAATTCTGGGGAATTCTGAGAGTTGAAGTCCATACATCTTAAATTTGTCGATGTTGATGAACACAGCTCTAGAAAGTGGTATTCAGCCATCGGGGAATGTCTTCTCCACCAACGGTTGAACTGTTTCTACAATCTGTCCACACTACTCTGCTTGGTACAAAGGATTCTGGGAAACCAACGGATGCTCTTAATATGGGGCTACTGGGACCATTTAGAACCAGTTTGGCCTAGTGATGAAGGCACCAGGCTAGAAACCAAGAGATATGTGCACTAGTCCCAGCTTAGGTGTGAAAGTGGAGCGAGTGACCTTGAGCCTGTCACACTCACTCTCTTTTCTCAGCCCAACTCCCCTCATAGGGTTGTATGGAAAATAGGAGAAGGAACAAGTATTATATGTTACATTTATATTTACTGACAAAGAAATAAAGGCTATAATAAAGAGTATTAGGTATGTTCACAGCCCCAAGTTATTTATTAAAATAATAAAGACAGGATTATAAATATCAATCCATCAGAATAAATCACAGGAGTCAAACTCGCCACATTACCTTGATGTCACATGACATATTGCCACATGTTTTGCCTTTCCAGAGCTGGGGTAGGCATGGCCTGTGCATGATGCATCTGGCTCACGAGCTGCCAATATGACACCCTTGGAACAGATAATATATTTGTTGTTTCCTAATGACCTCCTAGTAAGTGGAGCAGATTCCCATTTTGGAGGGGGAGGGGAAGATCTGGCAAACCCTCTTACAGAAAATTTCATTCATCACTTCCCATCTTTTGCTGAGAAATCTCCCAGTAAACCATGGGAAATACACTTTAATACACTTATTAGATTCCAATCCAATAAATGCTGTGGCCATTCAATTTGTTTGCAGAATTAAGCTGTAAAGAAGACATATGTAAGATGCTTTAGCCAACATAGAGTAGAGTAGAGTAGAGTAGAGTAGAGTAGAGTAGAGTAGAGTAGAATAGAATAACAGAGTTGGAAGAGACCTTGGAGCAGTGATGGGATTCAAAAATTTGTTCTGTGGGCGTGGCATGGCATGGTGGGCGTGGCAAAGGAAGAAATCTCCACTCCCTCCCCACCCCACTAACCTGCTTTCCAGCTCTGTTCTCCTGTGCAGGGCAACAAAAGGAGACCCAGCCGATCAGCTGGGACTCAATGGGAGGCAGAGAATAGATGGGGTCAGGGCCAGTCAGAGGTGGTATTTAGCGGTTCTCCGAACTATTTGAAATTTCTGCTACTGGTTCTCCAAACTGGTCAGAACCTGCTGAATACCACCTCCGCCTTGGAGGTGTTCTAGTCCAACCCCCTGCCTAGGTAGAAAACCCTACACCACTTCTTCAGAGGACGTTGGAGATGGGATTATGTTAGATCCTTGAATGTTACATATTCCAGAATGTACAACAGGTGTTCATCCAACATGACAACAACAACAACAGACTCCAACTTGGGGAATACAAAGGCCTTTTTTCTGTCTAGGAGGGGATTTAATTGTTTACACTGCATTCTAGAAACTGGAGCATACATCAGAAACATGTTACATTATGGCCTGTGTTAGAAACAAGGCAGGAAGACAACAGAGAGGTGATTTCAACCGGTATCCTTGAAATAGGGAAGACTTTTAAAAAATAAATAAATAAATAAATAAAAGCTCTCAGAGGCTTTCGGGTGAAGCAAGATCCAGCAGTACCTCCCAACACAGAGAACATTAAAATGACAGTTTCCTCATCTCTGCCCAGCAAAGTAGCGGAGACACACCTTTAATACCCTTTTGTGAGGCAAGGCAGGCCGGCCCCAAAACTAAAACTAAAGTGCAATTCACAACAGCCCCCTCCTACTTCCCCTCTTCAGAAATTAAGCCAGGAAAGAGGAAACAAACTTTGTTTTCCTCAAAAGAATATGAGTCCAACCCCCATAGATCTGTCTTATTAAAGAGGATCTATTCTAGCAGGAAGTAGAAACAATTCTCACTTAGGGGAATTATTAGGCCTACTACGTATATCTACACAGGGAACAATTGTATCTCCCACATTTAAGAGTCTTTATGCAAGAATAAAGATTTATTTATGAAACCACAAAAGCATCTCTTCCCACATTTAACAGAACAGAGCTTCTGGTAGCAGTTCAATCACCCTAATTCAGCAACTAGTGGCTGGTGTTTCATTTTGGCAATGATGGGCACTTTGGAGACTACAGCCAGATACAACTGGGTGGCTTGTACACATGAATCATCAATCAATCAGCTGGAAGGGACCATGGAGGTCTTCTAGCCCAACCCCTTGCTCAAGCAAGAGACCCTATATTATTTCAGACCAAGAGTAGGCCTGTTCCTTTACCAACAGTGGGGAGGCAGAATTTTTTCCCCAGGTACTTTAAGGAATCCTTTCTGCCCTGAAGCAGAAAAGCTACCAAGGCACAATTTCTGTGCAAGGCGGGCGCCCACCTCAAGGCTCTTCAGCTCTTTGCAGGTTATGGGCGGGGTGGGGGGGGGAAACGAGTCCCTGAGCAGGTGCAGAGGGCTTCCGAGAAGGAGGGTCAGCGCAGAGGAAGGGGTGGCGGAGCGCCTGCATTTCTCCCGACCAAGCAAGGCGGCGACTTTCTCTACCAGGGCTGCCCCCGGGGGTCGCCTTCGCCCCACACCCCCACCGGCTGCTGCTTTCCCTCGGCATCTCCAGCCGGCCCTCCACTCACCGAGCCCACTGATCTCGTGGCGGAGGCTAACGCGGGTCCTCTCCTCCACTATGGCCCGCAGCATCTGCTGAAGGGAGCGGTCCAGCTCCCCGCTGTCGCCGTCCTGCTGCTCGGGAGCCGCGAAGGAGGCCATGCCAGCAGCGCCCGCCCAGCGTCGGGCATCTCAAGCGCTCGGGCCGGATTGCCCCTCCCCTGCCCCCCAAGCGTGGGGACTAAGGCAAGAGAGCTACTGCGGGGACATCGCCGCCGAGCGGCCTGCCTGAAATGCCCGTCCCTTCCCGGAGAGAGGCTTCCCCGCTGGCCGGCGCCGCTTCCGCCTCCGCAGGCAGCAGCAGCAGCTGATCTGCCTGCAGCTGGCGGCGCTCGCCTTTTGGAACGCTTCCTGCCACCCGCTAGCTCGGCGCGTCGCAGCCAATGGGGGGCCGCGAAGAAGGGAGGGGCGTGGCCGAGCCCGGGCTGGACCCCTGACGTCACCCACTCCCGGACCGCGAAGCTGCAGCCGAAGCGGGGAAGCCTCGGGAAAGCCAGATGGGCGTCCGTCGTCTTTCCTGCAGCCGGTGGGCGTGATCCACCGCCGTGCCCAGGCCTCCGGCTCCCTAGCACCCAACCTTTGGGAGTCCCGCTGCTGTCGAGAAAAGGTGAGGAAGAGAATCGGGACTGGCGTTGGAGTTGCGGTGGTGCAACCCCTCTTTGAACCTTAATTGCAATTCCTAAATTATTATTATGGACCCTTTTAATGTCTTCCAGGGACCAAGCAGAAATGCCCCGAACCGGTTGCATTGTAGATTTGATTCCGGTCCAAAAGCCCCCCAAAACAAAGGTTCCGATATCCTCCAAAGGTTTAGGGCAGGGATTTCTAAACTTGGCAACTTTTTTATTTTTTTATTTTTTTTATTTTTCTTATATGTATTCATAACTATGTTTTTACTTATACCTATTATCTTGTAAGCAATTGACATAAATAAATAAATAAACAAACAAACAAACACAAACAAACAAACTTTGAGGCTTGTGGACTTCAACTCCCAGAATTCCCCAGCCAGCATGGCTGGCTGAGGAATTATGGGAAGTGAAGTCCACAAGTCTTAAAGTTGCTAACTTTGGAGATCCCTGGTTTAGCGGAAGATGAGACACCGTGGCGGACAAAATCATGCTTTGTAGGTATTGCATTTAAAAATGGAGGCATCTGATTAGTAAACACCTTGCTTTTTATCACCTGGATGAAATTGCATCACACACAAAAACCATGATTGTACAAGTACACTTGCATCACGATATGGCATAGATGTCCTTGAGGACGGCTCTGTAAATCCGTATCATATAAATATAAATCTCTCTAATATAAAAGCAAAATACCACTCATCCATCATCACAAAATCTCCAGAACCGTAAAGCCTACAAACTTGAAATTTGGCACATATGTTCCTCTTGGCTTCTAGGTGCTCACTAAGAAAGGATTTTTCAAAATGACCATCAGAGCATTACTATTTCCTATATTATTATTAACAGGCTCTGATGCTAAGGAGTTCTACTCCCTCCACCCACTGCAAAATACAAGCAGAGAAGACAAGTTTTAATTTCACAGCAGCAAGCAGCTTTATTACAGAACAATTGAGTTAAGCCACGCCCAGTCGCTTTGCTGTCGTCTCCTTGCTCACACAGCAAATACTGTTTCACTTTCCAAACAGCCCACAAGTCTCTCACACACTGACAGGATGCTAGCCAGATGAATACTGATGGATGCTGGTAGGCAGAGGCAGGATTTTTTTCTCCTTATTTTCCTCCCAAAAAACTAAGCCCGATCACATAGTTTCGTAGCAAAACATGGGTATAGAGCTAGTAATCAATAAGTCATCACTCCCATGGGCCATCTTTGGCTCGGGCATCTTCTACAGATGCCCAGCTGGAAGCTGGCTCTCTCGGGGTTGCAGGCTAGCGATTCATGTACCTTCAAAATCTGGGTTTGCACAACAGATCCTCTTACCAGCTGGAGGACTTCGTGATCAGGGGAACTGACATACAAATACCATACAAGCCCAAATCAGAGAATTTCAGTTGGTGAGGCCCAGAAAGAGAGCCTTCTCTGCTCTGGCTCCCAACCTCTGGAACATTTTTCCCCCAGAGGTGAGGTGGGCTCCGAACCTTCCCTTTCAGAAGGGTATGGAGACCTGGCTGTATCAATTGGCCTGTGGATTGAAAAGTGATGCAACGCTGGGGGTGGTTAGTACCGTGTTTCTCACAAAATAAGGCTGGGCCTTAATTTTTTTTGACCCCTGAAAAAACGGCTAGGCCGTCTTTTCGGGGGTGACTTAATTCCCCCCCCCCTTGCAACCTTAGGCGGGTGGGCAGCGACAGCTTGGATGTTGACTTCAGCGTTGGTGGGGCACTTCGTATCGGGGACCTTTCACCACCGTTGCTTTCCCTTCTCCCTGTGCTACTGCGGTATTTAGAGCAACGCCGCGGCATTTGGAGCAGCCACACATGGCTAGCCAGGTCTCCTCCCTGCAACCGAAGGCCGGTGGAGACACTCGGCTTCAGGCGCTCCTGTCACCGCCTTCCTTTCACCTTCAAAGGCAAAGCCAATTCTTTTAAAAATGACACCCTAGTACCGGTACGACAAAGCCTCCCCTGCCCGAGAGGGCAGCCCAACCCCACATGGGGAGGCGAATCTCCCGGGGCCGCAGCGCAGGATCGGCCCACTCCATGAGAAGTGCCCAGCCGCCGTCCCTGCCTGGTGCCGGGCAGAGCATGAAGAGCTTCGCCTGGGGTGCCCAGCGCAGCTGACAGGTGGGCCCTCCTGCCCGGCGGTGGAGCTCTCACCAAGGCAATGTGCGCCTCCCCGCTGGGCCCTCTGCTCTTCCCGCCAGGGCCGCACCAGAGTCAGGCGGGCTGGGCAGAGCTGGGAAAACGAGCTGCGGGTGCGCGCCCACCTGCCAAGCGAAAGAGCTGGGCCGACCCGAGCTTGGCTTCCTTCCCAAGTCCCTTGAGCCCGAACCCGAAGGGGCCACCGGGAGAGGCCACCCAAGGCAGTGATAGTGCCCACCTGTCAGCAGACAGGGAGGTGAGGCGACGGCAGCGCTGCTTCCCTGACCGGCAGGTCCGGCGGAGAGAGCTCGAAGCCGCCCGTCCTTTCCACCCCTCGTCCAGCCCGTCCCCATCCCCACGCATCTCCAAATGCTCCGGCAGCTCCAAATGCTCCAGCGGCATGGGCATCGGGCAGAGGCGCTCACTCGGTGGGGCTTAGCTCGGAGGAGGACACGGCTCAGGCCGTCACGTCGCCTCACTGACCGTGGACGGGTGGGCACTATCACTGCCTTGGGTGGCCTCTCCCGGTGGCCCCGTTTATATGTCTAAGTGACTGAAATGTTGAGAGATTGGAATAGTACTACATTGCAGATGTCAAGGAAAATGGATTATTAAAAGCCAGTAAGAGATCTGTTAGTATGATGCCTCTCCCGCTGTCAAGAATTAACACTGGCGCCCACTAATGCTTATGCCCTCCACCATTAAGCAGAGCCTTTGAATTCTTAAAACACTCATATTTTTCTGGCCAAGGTGTTGAAAGAAAAATCCTTCTGGGTTCAGTTCCAAGTGGGGAAAAAGACCCTGGAAACACGGAGGCTGTTTGGAAGGTTTAATGGTGGACAGGACCATGTGGCCTGGAGCTCCAGAGTGAAAAGGAAGGATGATCACATACTTCAAGGTGAAGGAAGAGATTAAGAAAAGGGGCTGATGTGCTAAGAGTGCCTGGGTTGAATAACCTTTGTTGGGATTTGAATTTGAACTTGTATTCTGATTGGTTGTCAGCCTCCCATGGGGCCATGCAGGGACAACTCTGTAGGCTGTCCTGAGTTCCAGGCTTGGTTGAGCCTTGCTGGATGATGCACTGAAAGGGCTTTTGAGCAATTGCTATAGCTTTACCTGGAGATCATTGTTATGTAAAGTATTCTGGCCCAGGTCTTCATGGCCCACCCATTAACAAAGGTGGGGGCGAGCTTCTGCTTCTGAGGTGGTGAGTTTCTGCTTCTGAGTTTCTACTCTTTTTAGAGGAAATATTCTGCCTTTTTAATATTTCCCAGGATATTTCATTTTTCTAGGAGACGGGCGGGTGCTAACTTCCTACAAAGGTAAGTGCTCAGATATACATAGGCCCCAAACCTTGTCAAATTATTGTGGTATTTAAATCAAAGTATCTCCCCCACCTCATTTTTCCTTTTATTAGTGAGTTTGGTGTTCTCTTTTCCTAATGTTTCTTCTTTTTTAAAAACACATTTAGCTGTTTTGGGAATGCTTGCTTATAATTTGTAAATACAAGTGAAAAGGCGTTTTAAAACACACATTAGCTTTGCTCTCTTCCCTCAGAATTGATATCCCCCAGGAGTATTTGGCTCTTAACTCCCTAACTCAACTCCCTCACTTGGCAAGCCAGCCTTGCCAAGGAACTGAAGTTGAATTTCTCTGAAGAAAGGCACCAGCTTGGAGAAATCGAGAACGCAAGACATTTTCAGCCAACTTTGCCTCAGTCAATTAAAAATGCCTGAACTGGCTGGGTCTCTCTTGTGCTCCTGTCCCTGAAGGGGGATTGTCCATTTAGCAAGCCATTAAGAGACTTCCAGAACATTAAGGCTAATTCAGTCCGTCCCCAGCCACTCATACTGATCATCGGGTGGTGCAACTCCCAACAATGGAGGATTTCAGCATAGTCCCACTTAAGTCTGGTGGATGTTTTTCCTACATGTGGGAAAGTAACTCTTAGTCTGAGGTTCCTGGGGTCTTGCTCATTACATATGAAGTAAATAATTATGTACCCTTAAAACCTTCTAGAAAGCTGTTAAGAGTCTTCCTGAAATGAAGCTTTGGCATGGCAGTTCCTACCACACAGAAGAGACATTGCTGGAGTAATGGAATGTAAAAGGCCTGAGATGTTGTTCCATTATAGCAGGGGTCTCCAACCTTTGCAACTTTAAGACTTGTGGACTTCAACTTCAAAGCTGGCTGAGGAACTCTGGGAGTTGTCTTGTCTAATTGAAATCTCTATAATGCAGGGGTTTCCAACCTTAACAACTTTAAGACTTGAAGTCCACAAGTCTTAATGTTGTTAAGGTTGGAAACCCCTGCATTATAGAGATTTCAGTTAGACAAGACAGACATGACATTAGTCAATCCTTAAAAATGGCTTTCCAAAAATGTAAAGCCGGAACAAGTAATTGTTTAAAGCATGTACATTTCAAAGGCATGTTGACAACTGGCCCCAAGTTGTCAACTTAGTCAATTAGGAATGACATTATTTCCATGTTCAGCATTTGCAATTATATTT